TTGATGTTTTTCTCTCTCTCTTTCTCCCTCCCTTCCACTCTCTCAAAAATAAATAAATAAAATCTTTTTAAAAATGAACCTAGGAATAAATTTAACCAAGGGGGTAAAAGACCTGTATTTGGAAAATTATCAGAGATCGAAGAAAGGAATTAAATATACAAATAATCAGAAGCATATACTGTACTAATGTATAAGAAGAATTAACATCATTAAAATGCCCATACTACCCAAGGCAATCTACAGATTCCAGACAATTCCTGTCAATATACCAATGGCCTTTTTCAGAGAACTTGAACACATAATTCAAAATTTTATATAGAACCACAAAAGACCCTGAACAGCCACAGCAATCTTGAGAAAGAAGAACAAAGTCAAGGTATCATGCTACCTGATATTAAACTATACTGCAAAGCTACAGTAATCACAACAGCATGGTACTGGCATTAAAAACAAGCATGTAGATCGCTGGAACAGAATAGAGAGCTCAGAAATAAATCATGCCTATATAGTCAACTAATATATGAAAAAAAGAGGCAAAAACATACAATGAGATAAAGACAGTCTAATCAATAAATGGTTTTGGAAAATCTGGACAAATACATGCAAAAAATTAAATTAGACCACCTTCTTACACCACAAATATGCAAGAATAAACTCAAAATGGATTAAAGATGTAGATGTAAGACTCAAAACCATTAAACTCCTAGAAGAAAACATAGGTAGTATAGTCTCTTACATTTTTCTTAGCAATATTTTTTCAATATAACTCCTCAGGCAAGAAAAACAAAAGAAGAAAACAAATGGGACTACATCAAAGTAAAAAGATTTTGCACAGCAAAGGAAACCATTAATAAAATGAAAAGGCAATATACTGAATGGGAAAACATATTCACCAATGATAGATCTGATAAGGAGTTAATATCTAAAATTTATAAAGAAGTCATACAACTGAACACAAAAACAACCCAAACAATCCAATAAAAAATGGAGAGATGACCTGAATAGACACTTCTTGAAAGAGGACATATAGATGATCAGTAGACATATGAAAGGATGCTCAACTTCAGGTCAAGATGGAGGCATAGGTAGGCACACTTTGCCTCCTTGCACAATCATAAGAAAGATCACAACTAACCTCAAAAAAGAAAAAAGAAAACCAGAACTGCCAGAAATCAAACTGTATGGAAGTCCAACAACCAAGGATTTAAAGCCATATTCATCCAGAAGGGTAGGGAGGCAGAGACAGGGAGCCAGGACAGAGAGGACACAATGTGGTGACAGTGAGGCGGCAGCAGCGGCTAGTGGAATGGGCAGTCCCACATTCACATGTGGTGAATAAAAATCAGGAAGGATACCTGGGAAGCAAGTGATCCTAGCCCCAGGCCAGACCTCACAGCCTAGGGTTCCAGCACTGGGAAAATAAAACCTCACAACTTCTGACTGCAAATACCAGTGGCAGTTGCAGTGATGGGAGAAACTGCCAGTGTCTCAAGAGAGTCTGTTTAAAGGGCCCACATGGTCCTAGAATGTACGGAAACGCACCCACTCTGGAAACCAACACCAAGGCAAGAGTAGAGGGGTGCCAGTTGCATACAGGAAGTAGGTAAAGTAACTGGAAGTGGGGTGAGTGCGGAGAAAGCCTCCAGCAGCATTGTTCCTACTCCAATCCCTCCCCTACATACAGAGCCACAAAACAGTGAAGTAGGTTTCCCCGCCAACGTGAATATCTAAGACTCCACCCCATACAATTTAACAGGTGCGCTGAAACAGAGAGTCAAAGCAGCTTTACCTAGTACACAGAAACAAACACAAGAAGGCTGCAAATACAGGAGACAAAGAAATATAGCCCAAATTAAAAACAAAAACAAAAACAAAAAAAACAGAACGAAACCCCAGAAAAGAACTAAATGAAATGGAGATAGCCAACCTATCCAATGCAGAGTTCAAAACACTGGTGATCAGGATGCTCAGAGAACTCATTGAGTACAGTAAAAGCATAAAGGGAAAAATGAAGGTTACACTAAGTAAAATAAAGAAAAATCCACAGGGAACCAGCAGTGACAGGAAGGAAGCTGGTGTTCAAATCAAAGATTTGGAACATAAGGAAGAATTACAGTCAACCAGAACAGAATTAAGAAACAAGAATTCAAAAAAAAAAATGAGGAGAGAATAAGAAGAATCTGGGACATCTCCATATGTGTCAACATCCAAATCATAGGTATGCCAGAGGGAGAAGAGGAAGAACATGAAATTGAAATCTTATTTGAAAGAAATAATGAAAGAAAACTTCCCTGATTTGGCAAAGGAAATAGACATATAAGTCCAGGAAGTACAGAGCATCCCAAACAAGTTGGACCCAAAGAGGACCATACCAAGACACATTATAATTAAAATGCCAAAAGTTAAAGAGAGCATCTTAAAAGCAACAAGAGAAAAGCAGAGTTACCTACAAAGGAGTTTCCATAGTCTGATAGTTTATTATTTGGTTTCCTTCCTTTGTAAAATACATGTTCATTATTTTTGCCTGTTTTCCATTGTGTTGTTTATTATTTTTAATAGAGGTTAGGAAGACTATCAGCTGATTTCTCAAAAGAAACTTTGCAGGCTAGAAAGGACTGGCAAGAAGTATTCAAAGTGATGAAAAGGAAGGACCTACAACCAAGATTATTCATTCAGCAAAGTTATCATTTAGAATTGAAGGGCAGATAAAGTGCTTGCCAGACAATGTAAAACTAAAGGAGTTCATCATCACTAAGCCCTTATTATATTAAATGTTACAGGGACATATTTAAGAAAAAAGAAGATAAAAATATGAAAGGTAAAATGACAACAAACAACTATCAACAACAGAATCTAAAAAACAAAATAAACCAAGCAAACAACTAGAACAGAACAGAATCATAGATATGGAGATCATTTGGAGGGTTATCATTGAGTAGGTGTTGAGGGAAGAATAGGGGAAAAGGTACAGGGATTAAGAAACATAATTGGTAGGTACAAAATAGGCAGGGTAAGGTTAAGAATAGTATAGGAAGTAGAGAAGCCAAAGCACTTACATGCATGACCCATGGACATGAACTAAGGAGAGGATTTCTGGAGGGAAGGGGGTACCAACCGTAGGAAGGTAAAAGGGGAAAAATTGTGACAACTGTAATAGCATAATCAATAAAATGCACTTAAAAAGATGCTCAATGTCACTAATCATCAAAGAAATGTAAATTAAAACCACAATGAGATATTTCTTTACACTCGTTACAGTGGCTGTCATCAGTGAATCAACAAACAACATGTGTTGAAAAGGCTAAAAAGGGAACCCTTGTGCACTGTTGGTGGGAATGAAGATTGGCACAGCCACTGTGGAAAGCAGTATGGAGTTACCACAAAAAATTAAAAAGTGAAGAGCCTTATGACCCAGCAATTCCACTTCTGTGTATACAGTATATCCAAAGAAACCTAAAACACTAATTCAAAAAGATATATGCATCCCTATGTTCACTGCAGTGTTATTTACAATAGCTAAGATATGGAAGTAACCCAAATGCCCATCAATAGATCACTGGATTAAAAAGTGGTAGTACATATATACATTGGAATATTACTTAGTCATAAAAAAGAATGAAAACTTATTAGTGACAGCATGGATGGACCTAGAGGGTATTAGGTGAAGTGAAATTAGACAGAGAAAGACAAACACCATGTGATCTCACATATATGCAGAATCTAAAGAACAAAGTATATAAAACAAACAAAACAGAAACAGACTCATATATACAGTAAACACATTGATGGCTGCCAGTGGGTAGGGAGATTGGAGGGATGGGTGAAAAAGGTGAAGAAATTACAAATTGGTAGTTATAAAATAGTCATGTGGATATAAAATATAGTGCAGAGAATATAGTCAGTAATATTGAGAAAACTATGTGCTATGTGAATACTTGAAATAATGGGGGTGGGGATTACTTTGTAAAGTATATGACAGTCTGTCCACTCTGCTCGACACCAGAAACTAATATTGGGTTAGCCAAAAAGTTCATTTGCTTTTTTTCATGATGACTCTACTAGCACTTATTTGTCTTTAACTTCATTCAAAACAAATTTGTTAGATTGTATTGTGACAGCTGTCATATCAGTGGGCATTAAAAACTTATCATCCCTGGCTGATGTGGCTCACTGGATTGAGCTCCATCCTGCAAAGCAAGAGGTCACTGCTTTAATTCCTAATCAGGGCACATGCCTTGGGTGCAGGTCAGGTCCTCAGTTTTGGGTGTGTGAGAGGGAGGTGATCAATGTATCTCTTGCACATCCATGTTTCCCTCCCTCCCCCTCTCTCTCTAAAAATAAATAAAGAAAATCTTTTTAAAAAACATCAAAATAGTTCATTTTTGTGTAGCCATTTTAATATTGAAGATGGAAGAAAATATTCAATATTTTTGGCATAGTATGCTTTATTATTTCAAGAAGGGCAAAAATGCAACTGCAATGCAAAAGGAAAAAAAAGACTTGTGCAGTGTATGGAGAAGGGGCTGTGACTGATTGAACATGTCAAAAGTGATTTGAGAAGTTTTGTGCTAGATATTTCTCATTGGACATTGCTCCACAGTTTGGTAGACCAGTTGAAGTTGATAGTGATTGAATCAAGACATTAATTGAGAACAATCAGTGTCATACCACATGGGAGATAGCTGACATACTTAAAGTATCCAAATCAATTAAGTTATTGGTGAAAATGAAAGATGTGTTTTTTCTTTTCTGGAAAAACCAAAACAGATGGTTTGACCAACCCAATATAAAATATTGAATGTCAACTGTAAATTAAAAATAAAATTACGGACTTCCAGCCAAGATGGAGATGTAGGTAGATACACTTTGCCTCCTTGCAAAATCAAAAGAAGGACAACAACAAATATAAAAGCAAAAAACAACCACAACTGCCAGAAAATCGAACTGTATGGAAGTCCAACAACCAAGGAGTTAAAGAAGAAACATTCATCCAGACTTACCAATCTGGGGATGGGGAAGAGTCAGGCAGCTGCAGCAGAGAGGACACGAGGTAAGGTGGAGGCTGGAGGACTGGGTGGGTGAAGCAGCAGCTGGTGGTCCCACACTTGCGTGCAGATAAACTGGGAGGAACAACAGGGGAGCGAGACAGATCATGCAACCCAGGGTTCCAGTGTGTGAAAAGAAAGCTTCAAAACCTCTGGGTACAAAAACCTTTGGGGGATTTCAGTGGCAGGAACTCCCAGCCTCACAGGAGGGTTCATTGGATAGACCTACAGGATCCTAGAACAGACATAGACCCACTCACCCTGGAATCAGTGCCAGAAGAGCCCACTTTGCTTGTGAGTTGGGGGGGGAGTGACTGAAAGCTAGTGGAGAGCCAAACAAGCTGCATTGCTCCTTCTCTGACCCCTCCCCCACAGACAGCACCCCAATGCAGTGATGTGGGTTACTTTGCCCTGGGGAATACCTAAGACTCTGCCCCTTACAAAATAACAGGTGTGCCAAGACAAATATGGCCAAAATGAAAGAATAGATCAAAGTTCCAGAAAAAGAAATAAGCAACAAGGAGATAGACAACCTATCAGATGCAGAGTTCAAAACACTGGTAATCAGGATGTTCACAGAAATGGTTGAGTATGGTCACAAAACCGAGGAAAAAGTAAAGGCACTGCAAAGTGAAATAAAGCAAAATATACAGAGAACCAACAGTGAAGGGAAGGAAACCAGGATTCAAATCAACGGTTTGGAGCAGAAGGAAGAGAGAAACATTCAGCCAGAACAGAATGAAGAAACAGGAATTTTTAAAAATGAGAAGAAGCTTAGGAACCTCTGGGACAACTTGAAATATTCCAACATCTGAATCATAGCAGTGCCAGAAAGAAAAGAGGAAGAGCAATAAATTGAAAACTTATTTGAAAACATAATGAAGGAGAACTTCCCCAATGGCAAAGGAAAGAGACTTCCAAGAAGTCCAGGAAGCTCAGAGAGTCCCAAAGAAGTTGGACCCAAGGAGGCACACACCAAGGCATATCATAATTGCATTACCCAAGATTAAAGATAAGGAGAGAATCTTAAAGCAGCAAGAGAAAAGGAGACAGTTACCTACAAAGGAGTTCCTGTAAGACTATTTCAAATCAGCTAATTTCTAAAAACCCTTATAGGCAAGAAGGGGCTGGAAAGAAGTATTCCAAGTCATGAAAGGCAAGGACCTACATCCAAGATGACTCTATCCAGCAAAGCTATCATTTAGAATGGAAGGGCAGGTAAAGTGCTCCCCAGATAAGGTCAAGTTAAAGGAGTTCATCATCACCAAGCCCTTACTTTATGAAACATTGAAGGGATTTATCTAAGAAAAGGAAGATAAAAAATATGAGCAGTAAAATGACAGCAAACTCACAATCATTAACAACCACACCTAAAACAAAAACAGACTAAGCAAACAGCTAGAACAGGAACAGAACCACAGAAATGGTGATCACATGGAGGGTTAGCAACAGGGGAGTGGGAGGGGGAAAGAAGGGGAGATGGTACAGGGAATAAGAAGCATTATTAGTAGGTACAAAATAGACAGGGGAAGGTTAAGAATAGTATAGGAAATGGGGAAGCCAAAGAACTTATATTCATGAACCATGGACATGAACTAAGGGGGAGGAATGATGGTGGAAAGGCAGGGTGCAAGGTGGAGGGGAATAAAAGGGAGGTAAAAAATGGGACAACTATAATACCATAATCAATAAAATATACTTTAAAAATAAAATTTAAAAATAAATATACCAATATTAGTAAAGAAAGTATAAATGATCTCTTGTTAATTATATAATTGTACATCTAGAAAAACAAGAAATTAAAATAATTCTGGAATAAATAAACAAGATGATATGTTTTGTTTTTGTCTACACTAGCAATAGCCATCTAGAACAAGAAATTAAGAAAATATTGCATTTAGAATAATAAAAAAATAATAGATAAGAAAACAAGGCCCTTATATAAGCTGGCTACAAGAGACCCATTTCAGATCAAAAGACACACACAAAGAATGAAAGTAAAGAGATGGAAAAAGATACCTCATGCAAATGGAAATGAAAAAAGGTAAAGTAGCAGTTCTTATATCAGACAAAATAGGCCATGGGGCTGTCTGCCTATGCTCACTGACTATTGACCCTTCCCATGATCACTGCCTGAGGTGCCATTTCTGTGCCTCTCCTGTCAATATTTGCTCCCTTGCTGTTCCCAGGATTGCCAGGATTGCTCTTCCACTCTAGGTTTCTGGCTGTCACTTCACTTCTTAGGCCTCCCTTGGGTTCCAGTTTTCCAGAGGGTCCCACAGAAGAGTTGCTTGGAAGCTGGTTGCTTTACAGGCATTTTCTCAGAGTCACAGAGCTGAAATTGCCTGTTGTTGTGATCTGAACTATGACTCAGAGCACCTACTGTCACTGAGTGGGAGAAAAATACAAGTGAGATAGGTGCATTCTGGTGGAAGTTAGGCAAGCATGGGTGCCCTGAGAGGGCAGATCCAGATCAGAAGGCAGGGTGACAAGCCTGGGGAGGGATCTGGGTGCAAAAAAAAAAAGAAAGAAAGAAAGAAAATGAGGCATGAACAAGAAAGACCCTGAAGAAACCATCCAGTTTCAGAAATTTGGCTTTGAGGTGAGCCTTGGACCAAAAAGTAAGACAAGTAGAGATGGGCTTCCTGTGCAGGCCACAACAAAACTCCAGTGACCTTCCAAACATCTTTGGTACAAGGACTCTTGGTCATTCATCCTCCCCACCCTGAATCATTGCTTTTTACTTTAGGCCTGTTGCCAACTTGGGTTCAAGTTCCCCAAACTGATGACTAAAGACATTGGTTTTGAGATAAGAAGATAAGGGAGGAGCTGAGGGGGAAGACAAGTGAGTCATGATTGACACTAGGGGAAAGGCAGGGACCCTGAGGACAGAACCAGAGTACTAAATAGAGCCTTGGTGGCCTCTGAGACCATCCCCAGGGCAGAGTCCAGAAGATTGGGAGAGACATCTATAGTTTTATTTGCTTCCAGAGTTGGTGCTTCAGCCCAGCTAATCTTTGGTATAATATTAACTACCACCTTAGCAGTGTAGGATGCCAGGGACAGAAAGAACAAGGTATGGATAAGACAGGTATGAGTTCTAGTTACGTATTTGGCTCTACAGAAACTTATGTATCATTGACTCCTTAGGACATTAATTCTCATCACACCCCTAAGAACTTAGTACTATTATTACCCCATTTCACAGGTGAGGAAACTGTGGGCTAACAGAAGTGAAGTCACGAGCCTAGTACCATGCAACCAGTGGGTGATGGAGCTGGGACTGAAACCCCGGCAGTCTAGCTTCTAGGCTCACTGGTGAGGGCTGTTTGATCCTGGCAGCTGTCTTCAGGTTCATCTCTCCTGTTTCTCCACGTTGCCCTATGCCCCCAACATGACCTCATCAAGTTGACCTGCTTACTCTTCCAGACAGCTAATATTGTATTATGCAGGAGGCAGAAAGGCCTTATTTAAGGGGGCATTTCTCCAGTCCTCTGATCTCTGGGAATAATTTCATTGTCAGTCTTGGAATGGTGGGGGGCAGAGGGTAGAGTAAAGGTAGTAGGAGAGTTAGCAGGCCCAGAACCACACAGGGTTCTCACAGTCCTTGTCCCTAGTCTATCCTCTGAGGCTGACAGTTCTGCCCTCAGCTTTTATTTCTGGAGGCGGAGTTCACTGAATCTTCTTATTCATTTAAACTCCCCTCCTTCAGGGAGTCTCAGGAAGGCCCCCTTTCCTTCTTTGAAATGGTCTGTTATATTGTATTTGGATGGATTATTTTAAAGCTGCCTTAAACTTGTTGTGCATGTAAGCAGAGTATAAATACATTAAAAATAAAATAAAAAGGAATGAGTGGTTTGCCTCTGGGGCTCTCCAGGCTAAGTGAGCACCTCTTCATTGGGTCTGTTTGTCTCTCAGAAGTATTCCTTTCTGGCTGATGGTTCTGCAGGACATTTATTGGGAGTTGATTTGGCACTGGTGCAGCAAGCAGTCCTCTGATGCAGTGGCTATGGAGACAAAGCTGGCTTCAGTTTCATCACTTCCTTTGTAGGGAGTCATGCTGGTTAGGAGTGACTACAGAGGAATCAAAGCCATGTTCTAGAAGCTATGGCAGAAAACCCATGTCCAGTTAACCAAATTTGTCTTCTGGGAGGCCCCAAACTCCCCTCTCTGGGTCTTCTTTCCTCTTCAGCAGTATCCCTTGAACCCTTCAAATAGGCCTTTGGGTCTTTTCCCCTCCCAGTTGTGAATGACACTAACAATCCCATGAGAAAGGCAATCTTCCCCTCTGCCAGTGGCTGGCAGCATTTTACAGAATGGGCTTTCCTGAAGGGACTAAACCCAGCTCGAGAAAGTAACTCTCCAGCTATAACCAACTTCCCCGAGGGGTGAAGTGGTGCTTCCCAGGCAGTATGAAGAGAAGGCACTGACTTCTTCTGACACAGGCCACCTCAGAAGAGGAGGAAGGATAAAGATCCATCTTGAAGCAAAAGTGGGACTGTAGCCAGAGCCTAGAGTTGGGAAGCTAATGGGAAACAGATGAGGAAGGGAGGAGGATGGAATTCAGGAATGGGCGAGGCTGGTTGCTGTATCTAAAGGGGGCTGGGAGAAGCAACTTGATTGAAACCAGTTGCTGCTCCTTTGTCTCAGATCTTTGGACTCTGCCCTGGGCAGGCTCACACCTTATTCCAGAAGACTGGGAGCCAGCAGAGGCTTCTCTGCCCACCTTGACTCCTGGATCCCTGATAAACAACAGACCAGAGGGGAACTCTCCATCAACCAGCCAGGTACCTCCTCCACATTGCCAGCCCTTACCCCAGGCTGCTCCTGCCTAGGAAAGGTCTGGAGGAAGAGGCCAGGGAAGGAAGAGGCCTATCCACTTTCCACCATCCCTCCACTGACCTAGCACCAACATCTGGAGACTCCATGGCCTGGGATCCCTGGAGCTGCTGGCACTGGCTTGTCCTCATCTGTGGTATGTGCATTTCGGTCTTTCCATTGCTTCCCATGCTGGGAGGACAAGTTCAGTTGGAGAGCAGCTCTGGCCTCCACTTCTGGGCTCAGAAATTGTTGGAGTGAGGGCTGCTGCCCAGGTTGTCTCTTTTTCTCTTGCCCCCTGCCCTTGTCTTGAGGAAAAAATAACAACAGGGCCAGTCCTTGGGGCCCTCAAGACTTAGGTCCAGTCTGGTCTGACACCTTTTCATTCCCACCTGTTAATGAAAAAAATTATTCTGGCACATATTTTAAAAAGTAAGTAAGATTTTATTCAAGACTATTGCAATAGGGACATTTAAATAGGGAAGTAAGATTAGACTCAACCCTGAATACAGCAAAGATGGCCAATGAGCAGAGTAAGGGGGTCAGTGGATGGGAAATTCCTAAGAGGAAACATCAAGGTCATGGAGATTCTTACTAAAGTGGCTTAATAGGATTCTTGTGGAAGGCAGGCCAGGGTGATCAGATATCAAGGGTGGGAATGAGGAATTTGAACAAGTATCAAGGGGTGATCAGTTATTAATGGTGGGAGATTCTCTCTACACTCACTTAACAAGATTCTTGCTAAGACAGAAAGATTTAGACCCAGCAAGGACAAGATTGCTGGGCCAAAGTCAAGGACTAATCAAAAAGAGGGCTCAGAGGAGCCTAATTAAAGCTTGGTTTTTGTCACCCCCATGGTGCCCTGGTTTTTCTCTTTGGTCACAACTACCAGTAACTGCCCAGCTCAGCATCCTCCATACCCACTCCACTTCCAGCTTTAGGGAGGCCTTCCATTCCTTTGTTCTCTGTCAGCAGGACTTTGCTCATTCATTCAGCACCCAGTTTCTGAGCACCTTTCCAGTATCAGGACCTGTGTCAGGAACCACAGATGATTTGGCTACAGAGCTTGACCTTGAAAGCCACAGCCTAAACCTCAGAGAACAGCTATCTGTGTGTTCACAGGGCAAAGGTGGGCTCAGTCTTGCTTCTTATATTGGCATCTTAATGCCACCATTTTGCCAGAGATCTGTTCCCACAGAAATGAGGGTTCAATTTCTTAAATCAATAGGATGGGTTTCATCTCCCCCTTGAGTTTATAAAAGTAAGACAACCAAGCAAGACCATTCATAGTATTGGGTATTAAACCCCAGTCACCTTTTCCCATCTGTACTTCAACTCACTCAGAAGGTAAAAGTACAGTGGTATTGTCCAT